ATGAAACTATCACATAATTTCAATTTATTTAATCTGTTAGGAAATTTCTGGAAGGAATTATGACTCAGAGAGATTTTATGCAATGCGTAAGAAAAAAGTCACAGATTCAAGACCTGTTGCAATGCCACATCTAGCTAGGGCTGAAAATAATCCAAAATGAAACCCTGGAGAATTGAAGAGTTCTTACTGAATTACATAATCCAACATTTGGACTCAGCATAATATCACTTTCTAAATTCCTGTTTACTATTATCCATATTCATTTTATCCTTTAATTCCTAATTATTAGTGGACTGCAAGTTCTCTTAAATCCTCAAATCTTATTTGTGAAGGGTCCTTGGTGCTCTGAGTTTCATTGTTTGCTTGCAGAAATTTTATTACTCAAAGTATGTAACATCATCAATGCTAGTAAGAAGTGGGGGTTTGCTCTCAGTTTATATTCTAGTGGCTTGCCCTGTCAGTGTTGGTGGAGGTGGTTTTACAGGTTCTTTGGTTAGGTTGTTTACTGTTGATTTGTTTGGCAGTTCCTTGATTGGGGATTTGTTTATTTGATTGTTAGTCTGATGTTAATCTTGGAGTTAATCTGTGCTCATCTGAGTGTTGATTGCTGGTGGAAAGGTGTTTTAGTCTTTTTGTTCCCTTTTTGGCTTGTTGATTGTCTCCTTTGCATAGTATATGGATATTATTTATGTCTATGTGTCTATTGATGGCTGATTTGTCAGAGTGCCAGGTTGCTAGAAATTCCCTAGTGGTTTTGAACATAGTAGCTTGGTCTAGGATGGACATTGTTTCCAAATTAAAACTATGGTTAAGCCTGTCCATGTGTTGTGAAATTAAACAGTTTGCATCATGTATTCTGTCAGCTAGTTGGTGTTCATGGATACATTCTATGTCTTCTGCCTGTATGTCATATATAGTGGCTGTTGCAGTCATTACACTGTATGTTGTAGATGACTCCTAGGACTGCTGGATCTTTTGGTTTACTTAAGATATTTTGAAGGGCTTTTGTTGGCTTGTGTGCCATACTGATTCCATGTGGTTGTATGGTTGTGTGCCATACTGATTCCATGTGGTTGTATGGTTGTATGTTGGTGGTTTCTGAGATTATCTGATGTATGGCAGTGTTATTCTTTTAGGGCTTGTGTTAGCTGTGCTGTACTGGGTTGAGTGGTCACGAACCTTTGATAAAGTTGTGTGGATATCTATTTTGTTGGCGTATGTTGTATAGATGCTCTGTTTCCTTTAGTTCTTATGCAGCTTCTTTTATCAGAGGTTGGGTTGTTGCTTTGGTAGTACAACATTTGGTTGGTGTGGGTGGTTTTTCTGTACACATGTTTTTAGTTTGCCATTGTGGTCTCTGCTGATCAGGATGTTCAAGAAGGGTAGTGAGTTGTGGTTTTCTTTTTCTCTGGCAAACTGGATTCTTTTGAAGATGTTGATGGTATTGTGGATGTTCTCTTAACTGGTCTTTTTTATCATGGTGAAGGTATCATCTACAAATCTGATTTCTATTTTGGCTTGTATTTGTGGAACTGCTATGGCTTCTAGATATTGCATAACAACCTCTGCTATAAGTCCTAAAAGCAGTGATCCCATAGGCTACCTTTACTCTGTTGGTAAGTTTGTCCATCAAATTGAAAGTATATGATTAGGCAGAGGTTTATGTAATCCATAATTCTTTCAATTGATTGAAATTCAATTAACACTGCTATACATCAAGAACATCTTGGAAACCACCAACAAACTACTACAACCACATGGAATCAGTGTGGCACACAAGCCAACTAAAACCCTTCAAAACATCTTAAGTAAACCAAAAGACCAGCCCCAGAAATAAAAAACAGGAGTAATCTACAACATACAGTGTAATGAGTGCAAGAGAAGACTGGCAGATTGCATCCATGAACACCAACTAGCAGTCAGAAGACATGATGAAAGCTCTTTAATTTTATAACATATGGACAGATTTAACCATAGTTTCAATTGGGAAACTATGACCATCCTAAACCAAGCCAAGTCCAAAAATGCTACGGANCGAAGAAATAATAGACCAACCCGTAGACTGGAAACCAGAGATCTTTTTGCTGGGTATTTTAAACAGAAAATATAGTAAAGAAATACGGTACTTAATTCTACATATAACAACGGCAGCAAGAATAGCATACGCACAGTTCTGGAAAAATGAGAATATACCATCAGAGGAAGAAGTGATAAGAAAAATCCTGGACTGTGCTGTGATGGACAAATTAACAAAAGAGATAAAAGAAAAGGAAGACACAGAGTACTATCTAATATGGAACAAGTGGTATGACTGGTTGGAGACTAGAAATAATAGAGGAGAATAAATGTGGAAAGGTCAAAAGTGGAAAATGTGTGTATAATAAAGTATAGTAATAATAATATGTATTATTCTTAATATGAAGTATAGTATGAAGGAAGAAAAATGCAAATAAGAAACAACGGGACAACAAGGACAAATATATCTAAAGAAGAATAAAGGGGGAAATGTAAATAATAGAAGATTATCGTTACGAAATTGCTGTTTAAAAAAGGGGAGGAGTATACACTGTGTGTGTATGTGTGTTATGTTTTGTTTTGTTTGTTTAAAAAATAAAAAAAATATTAAAAAAAGTTTTAATATGTTATTTAATCTTTATGAAACTATCACATAATTTCAATTTATTTAATCTGTTAGGAAATTTCTGGAAGGAATTATGACTCAGAGAGATTTTATGCAATGTGTAAGAAAAAAGTCACAGATTCAAGACCTGTTGCAATGCCACATCTAGCTAGGGCTGAAAATAATCCAAAATGAAACCCTGGAGAATTGAAGAGTTCTTACTGAATTACATAATCCAACATTTGGACTCAGCATAATGTCACTTTCTAAATTCCTGTTTACTATTATCCATATTCATTTTATCCTTCAATTCCTAATTATTAGTGGACTGCAAGTTCTCTTAAATCCTCAAATCTTATTTGTGAAGGGTCCTTGGTGCTCTGAGTTTCATTGTTTGCTTGCAGAAATTTTATTACTCAAAGTATGTAACATCATCAATGCTAGTAAGAAGTGGGGGTTTGCTCTCAGTTTATATTCTAGTGGCTTGCCCTGTCAGTGTTGGTGGAGGTGGTTTTACAGGTTCTTTGGTTAGGCTGTTTACTGTTGATTTGTTTGGCAGTTCCTTGATTGGGGATTTGTTTATTTGATTGTTAGTCTGATGTTAATCTTGGAGTTAATCTGTGCTCATCTGAGTGTTGATTGCTGGTGGGAGGGTGTTTTAGTCTTTTTGTCCCCTTTTTGGCTTGTTGATTGTCTCCTTTGCATAGTATATGGATATTATTTATGTCTATGTGTCTATTGATGGCTGATTTGTCAGAGTGCCAGGTTGCTAGAAATTCCCTAGTGGTTTTGAACATAGCTTGGTCTAGGATGGACATTGTTTCCAAATTAAAAGTATGGTTAAGCCTGTCCATGTGTTGTGAAATTAAACAGTTTTCATCATGTATTCTGTCAGCTAGTTGGTGTTCATGGATACATTCTGTGTCTTCTGCCTGTATGTCATATATAGTGGCTGTTGCAGTCATTACACTGTATGTTGTAGATGACTCCTAGGACTGCTGTATCTTTTGGTTTACTTAAGATATTTTGAAGGGCTTTTGTTGGCTTGTGTGCCATACTGATTCCATATGGTTGTATGGTTGTGTGCCATACTGATTCCATGTGGTTGTATGGTTGTATGTTGGTGGTTTCTGAGATTATCTGATGTATGGCAGTGTTATTCTTTTAGGGCTTATGTTAGCTGTGCTGTACTGGGTTGAGTGGTCACGAACCTTTGATAAAGTTGTGTGGATATCTATTTTGTTGGCGTATGTTGTATAGATGCTCTGTTTCCTTTAGTTCTTATGCAGCTTCTTTTATCAGAGGTTGGGTTGTTGCTTTGGTAGTACAACATTTGGTTGGTGTGGGTGGTTTTTCTGTACACATGTTTTTAGTTTGCCATTGTGGTCTCTGCTGATCAGGATGTTCAAGAAGGATAGTGAGTTGTGGTTTTCTTTTTCTCTGGCAAACTGGATTCTTTTGAAGATGTTGATGGTATTGGGGATGTTCTCTTAACTGGTCTTTTTATCATGGTGAAGGTATCATCTACAAATCTGATTTCTATTTTGGCTTGTATTTGTGGAACTGCTATGGCTTCTAGATATTGCATAACAACCTCTGCTATAAGTCCTAAAAGCAGTGATCCCATAGGTCTACCTTTACTCTGTTGGTAAGTTTGTCCATCAAATTGAAAGTATATGATTAGGCAGAGGTTTATGTAATCCATAATTCTTTCAATTGATTGAAATTCAATTAACACTGCTATACATCAAGAACATCTTGGAAACCACCAACAAACTACTACAACCACATGGAATCAGTGTGGCACACAAGCCAACTAAAACCCTTCAAAACTTCTTAAGTAAACCAAAAGACCAGCCCCAGAAGAAAAAAACAGGAGTAATCTACAACATACAGTGTAATGAGTGCAAGAGAAGACTGGCAGATTGCATCCATGAACACCAACTAGCAGTCAGAAGACATGATGAAAGCTCTTTAATTTTATAACATATGGACAGATTTAACCATAGTTTCAATTGGGAAACTATGACCATCCTAAACCAAGCCAAGTCCAAAAATGCTACGGA